TGTTTATTTTTTATGTTATGCTTTTTTTATAATGTTTACTCTATGTGTGCTGTGTGTGGTGATAATATTAGTATATAGGTAAATATATACCTCACTTAGCATATATCATATACTATTACTATATAATATATAGTAACATATATATATTTAATATAATTATATAATATTATATTATTATTCTTAATATAGTGATCACACCTGTCTAAAAGTGGTTCACATTGGCCATTTCCTCTAATAGGCCGCTATAAAAAGGTTTGACTGTATCATCTATTACCATCATCACCTTTATCAACAATATTCTCATTATCTGAATAACCACTATAATTATTATCATCTTAATTAACACCATCATCATGAAAAGCCATAAAATCACTGTTGTTAACGTAACCATAATATTTTTATAGAATTCACTGCTATCATACGAACAGTTATAATCAGTATTTTTTTTTTTCTCTCATTAATACACACATCATCCGTTTTAATCACTTGTCATAATCAAAATCATTATAGTGGTGTTCCTTGTTAGTGTCACTGCATCACTGTTTTATTCATGTCGGAATGAATACTAATATACCTACTATCATTATCATAAACATTAATCTTGCACTGTTTTAACTGGCGTCCAAAATGCAGTTATCAATGTGATTATCATGGAAAACATATATTTCACGGTTTTTTTTTCGATTCAATATGTTTTTTTATAAAACCCGAATGATGTTCTTGCAGTCTTACCCTACATGCATACACACACACACACATACATATATATGTGTGTGTGTGTGTGTGTGTGTGTGTGTGTGTGTGTGTGTGTGTGTGTGTGTGTGTGGTGTGTGTGTGTGTGTGTGTGGTGTGTGTGTGTGTGTGTGTGTGTTGTGTGTGTGGGGTGTGTATATATGTATATATGTATGTATGTATATATATATATATATATATATATATATATATATAATATTATATATATATATATATGTATGTATATATTATATATGTATATATATATATATATATATATATATATATATATATATATATATATATATATATATATATATATATATATATATATATATATATACACATACATATATATATGTGTGTATATGTGTGTGTTAAAAGAAGACCTAGAACTCCGCAAAATATTCATGCCGTGTCCCTGCGCTCCTGTCATAGAGAGTCTTATAAACTCATGCCCCGAAAGAAGTCAGAACATCCATTTACAATTCCGCGAGCTAAACTTTGCGAGTCTTGGGCCAAACTTGGAGGAGTAGGACCCAGTGTGACCTCCCTTGGCCTGGGTTGACCTCCGTCCGGTTCGCTTCTGTTCTCTGCCTCGGGTTCCTGCCACGTGTCCTGAGTCGAGTGTTGTTGTTTGGAAGTTCATGTCTCGGAGGCTCTTTTGTGTTAACCGGGAGGTGGGGTTTTTTTCCGTAGTTTTGATTGGGTGTGATGTGTTTTCTTTTTTTTTTGTAATTTTGATTGGGTGTGATGTGATTATGACGTAGATTTGATTAACTGATTGGGGGTTTTTTCCGTAGTTTTGATTGGGTGTGATTTGTTTTTTTTCGTAATTTTGATTGGGTGTGATGTGGTTATGACGTGGATTTGATTAGCTCTGATATATTTTGATTGGTTTTGATGTGGCTATGACGTAGATATTAGTTCTGATTTGTTTTTTTCCGTAGTTGTGATTGGGAGTGATGTGTTTATGACGCAGATTTCAATAGCTTTGATGTATTTTATCCGTAATTTTGATTGGGTATGATGTGACACTTATGTACTTTTTTTATTAGTTGTGATGTTTTACGTACTCTTGATAAACGGTGATGCTTCTACGTACTTTTAATTAGCTGTGATGTGACATACAGACCTTTAATTGGCTGTGATGTGACATACAGACCTTTAATTCGCTGTAATGTGACATATAGTCCTTTTATTGGTGCTGTTTCACGTTCTTTTGATTATCTGTGATGTGGCTTCTACGTACCTGTGGAAGAAAGAAACAAAGGGAATTAACCAAACTGATTAGCAATAGATATCATTATGCAACGTACATGAATTCTGTATAATGATGATACGATAACCAAAAATATCTAGAATATTCGAAAGATATCGGAAGGAACGTAGGATGATCTAGAAATAATGGCATCCTTATTTCAAAAGTATTATTGCGTTTCTCTACGACATTAGTTATTTATCCGCCAATAGACGTCTTGTGATTGTCTTGTAGGGAGAAACTCTCGGGGAATTCCCTCCCCGTTTCATAATGTATCGTTCGATTGCGTGCGAGACAAATTGTATGTCAGATTCCCATTATGTTCGGGTGTGCGGGCGAGTGGGTATGTATGTAGTATGTATGTATGTTTGTTTATTTGTTTGTAGGTAGGTAGGTTGGTTGGTAGGTAGATAGATGGGTGAATAGGTAGGTAGGTAGATAGATGGGTGAATAGGTAGGTAGGTTGGTTGGTAGGTAGATAGATGGGTGAATAGGTAGGTAGGTTGGTTGGTAGGTAGTAGAGTGAATAGGTAGGTGGTAGAGATGGAAGTGAATAGGTAGGTAGTGGTTGGTAGGTAGATAGATCTTGCTAGTAGTGTATCTGGTTGGTAGGTAGATAGTATAGGTAGGTAGGTATATAGTGTTTCTATGTGTATGCGTATACATGTACATATGTGTATGTATATGTATGTCAAAGGTATATCAAGTTTCAAAGCGATTGAAGTTAGCATTGCTACGTGTATAGCAAGATTATGAAGTAAGACTTTTTAAATCACTACCATTTTTTTTTTCTTTTTTTTATCGCTTCATACTTACATTAATCAGAAAAGAAACTAAGATCATTGGCTTTTGTTCACTTGATCAGACCCCAAATCCCACAGTAAGTCCGGCGAAATCTAAGTGCATTTGTATAAAATATGCATCGACAAAGAGTGCCAAATGCTATTGCTGTAGACCTGTACCCTCGGTCCATTTATATTTCATAAACAATACACATGGTAATCATCGAAATCCTAGAATCATTATCAGCTTGAAGTATGCAAATGGCGGCGGCTGGCGCGTTAATCCGAAATTGATTGCCGAATTATGATGCAAAATTCAGCATCGCCGTTTTACAGTACAGTCATCAGCATATAAGACCAAAGTGGAATGACTCTGCTCGCAAATGGGCCGACGACTTTGCTTTCGTCTCTTCAGAACCATTGGAGAAAGTCATAACCGCGCCGCAGGCAAAAAAAAAAAAAAAAAAAAAGAGAGAGAGAGAGAGAGAAAAATAAGAAAAAGGAAAGAAAATGAGAAAATAATAATAACAATAAAATAAAAAATATATAATTTGAGTGTCCGAACATGAGAATATAATAATAACAATAAGATAAGAAAATAATAATAATTTGAGTGCCCTGAACCTGGAATTCCGAGAGAGCGACAGCCAAAAAATAAAAAATAAAATACAAAAAAAAGAAAAAGGAAAATGAGAAAACAATAATAACAATAAAATAAAAAATATATAATTTGAGTGTCCTGAACCTGGAATTCCGAAAACGACAAACACCTCCTTTTGAGAATGGAAGAAAACAGGTTCTAAAAATAATGTATGGGTAGTTATGGTCCGGTTTGGTTTTCTTAACAATTAGAAGACTCTCTACTGAGATTCCGTTCCCAGATTCAATTCTAAACGAATATTCGGGTTCAAAATAAGTTCTAAGATTCAATTCCCGAGATTCATTTCCAAGATTTAAGATTCAATTCCAGAGATTCAGTTCCAAGATTTAAGAATTGATTTTCAGTTCCAAGATTTAAGAATTGATTCCAGATTTTTAATTTCAAGATTTAAGATTCAATTCCAGATTTTAATTTCCAAGATTTATGATTTAATTCCAAAGATTAATTTCTAAGATTAAGATTCAATTCCAGAGATTCAGTTCCAAGATTTAAGATTCAATTCCAGAGATTCATTTCCAAGATTTAAGATTCAATTCCAGAGATTCAGTTCCAAGATTTAAGATTTAATTCCAGATTTTGATTTACAAGATTTAAGATTCAATTTTAATTTCCAAGATTTTTCATTTCCAGAGAATTTAAGATTTAATTCCAGATTTTGATTTACAAGATTTAAGATTCAATTCCAGAGATTCATTTCCAAGATTTAAGATTCAATTCCAGATTTTAGTTTCCAAGATTTAAGATTCATTTTCCAGAGATTCAGTTCTAAGATTTAAGAATCAATTCCAGAGATTCATTTCCAAGATTTGAGATTAAATTCCAGATTTTAATTTCCAAGATTTAAGATCAATTCCAGAGATTCATTTCCAAGATTTGAGATTAAATTCCAGATTTTAATTTCTAAGATTTAAGATTCAATTCCAGATTTTAACTTCCAAGATTAGGACTTAATTCCAAAGATTAATTCCAAGATTTAAGATTCTAATTCCAGAGATTCAGTTCAAGATTTAAGATTTAATTCCAGAGATTCAGTTCCAAGATTTAAGATTAAATTATTCCAGTTCCAAGATTAGAATCATTCCAAGCCTTCGTTCGAACCCTAGGAGGAGATTTAACCCCACGATTCAATCACAGACCAAGAATCAGGTTCAGTTTTTAATCGCAGCGCAGTGATTCATTCCAAGCTATAATTTAGCCCCAGGAATCAATGCGAGGTCAAGATTCAATATCAGGTTCAATCCCAGGAAAAAAATATTCCCAAAGTTCAAATCCAACATCAGACCAAGTTTCAGGCTCAAGGTTCAATTTGAGATTCAAGATTCAACCCCAAGATTCAGCTTCAACATTGATCCCCAAGATTCAATTCCAGATCAGAATTCAGCCCCTACATTCCTGAAATCCTCCCGAGAATCGAGCCTCAAGATTAAATTCTTCAATCCCTCAAGATTAAATTTTTGAGCAGAATTAAACCCGGATTAAGCCCCCTTTATTCAATTCCTTCCCGAGTTTCAGTATCAGATTCAACCTCAAGATTTAACTCCAGAGTAGTATTCAGCTTATAATTATGTCTCAGATTCGATTTCAAGCCGTGATTAAGCCCCATTATTCAATTCCTTCTCGAGTTTCAATATCAGATTCAACCCCAAGATTCGATTCCAGAGTAGTATTCAGCTTATAATTGTCTCAAGATTCAATTCCAGAGCAGTATTTTGTCCATATTTAAGCCCCAAGATGCAATTATTTCCTTGAAATCAATCCTTGATAATGCAATCCCCCAAAATTCAGCTTCAATATCCCACCCAAAAGTCAGCCCCAAGCTTCAGTCCCTTCCCCGAGACCCAAGCTTCAGCTATCTAGCCCCAAAAGTCATCCAGAGTTCAAATCCCTCCCCTAAGAACCCGAGTCCCAAAACCCAATCCCCTTCCTTGTACCAGCCTCAATATCAAGCCCTAAGAGTGAGCCCGAGCCCCAAGAGCCATCCCAGAGTTCAAATCCTCCCCAAGAACCCGAGTCCCAAAACCCAATCCCTTCCCCTTGTACCAGCCTCAATATCAAGGCCCCTAAGAGTGAGCCCCGAGCCCCAAGAGCATCCCAGAGTTCAAATCCCTCCCCAGAACCCCAGCCCCAAAACCCAATCCCTTCCCCTTGTACCAGCTCAAATACCAAGCCCCTAAGAGTCCAGCCCCGAGCCCCAAGAGCCATCCCAGAGTTCAAATCCCTCCCCAAGAACCCGAGTCCCAAACCCAATCCCTTTCCCTTGTACCAGCCTCAATATCAACCCCTAAGAGTGAGCCCCGAGCCCCAAGAGCCATCCAGAGTCCAAATCCCTCCCCAGAACCCCGAGTCCCCAAAAACCCAATCCCTTCCCCTTGTACCAGCCTCAATACCAAGCCCCCTAAGAGCCAGCCCCGAGCCCCAAGAGCCATCCCAGAGTTCAAATCCCTCCCCCAGAACCCCGAGTCCCAAAAACCCAATCCCTTCCCCTTGTACCAGCTCAATACCAAGCCCTAAGAGTCAGCCCCGAGCCCAAGAGCCCCCAGAGTTCAAAATCCCTCCCAAGAACCCCGAGTCCCAAAACCCAATCCCTTCCCCTTGTACCAGCCTCAATATCAAGCCCCCTAAGAGAGCCCCGAGCCCGAGCCCGAGATTCAAAACCCGCCCGAAACCCCAGTCCGGGCGCCGCTCGAACGCCCGCCGCCTTTCCCCCCGCAACAGTGTCTGCCCGAGCTGACTGAGGGGGACCGCGGCATCAGTCACGAGGCCGAGTTTCATGGCCTCATTTCCCAGCTGGGGGAAGACGGCACCGCGGGGAAATATGAAGCCATGAATCCAGCGTTGAACAGCATCCTCTGGAGCGACCCTCGTTAAGCGTGTTAAGTGAGGGGTGGGGCGGGAGGAAGGGAAGAGGTGGCGGAGGAGAGAGGAGGAGGGAGGAGAGAGGAAGGAGGAGGGTGGAGGGGCTGTGACCGAAGAGGGACGGGGAATGGAGGGGGATGAGGAGTTAAGGGAGAGGGGAGGAGGAGGAGGGGCTTAGAGAGGGGATATTTTGGCTGAGGAGCGAGAGGGAGAAGGTTACAGGTTGATGGGATAAGGGAGGGAGCATTGTGAGGGAGGGGGAAGGGAGAGGGGGTTCAGGGAGGGAGCCTGAGATCGGAAGGGAAGGATGAGGGTTAGGGAGGGCTTGTATCAGGGGTAGGAGAGGAGAGACAGAGAGAGAGAAGGAGAAGGAGGAGGGCATTGTTTATCAGGACGTCAGGGTGTTCCTCCTCCTCCGTCATTAGATATTACGGCTGTTTATCCTCCTTCCTCCCGGCCTGTGATTCGTTGCTCCTCCGAGACAGGCAACGCGGCTTTCTCCCCTTTGCCGCAATATCCACGAGCGGTATTTATGGTCATTGTTGCTTGCTGGAAAATGTGCAGGTTTTCAGGCCATCTCGGAGGAATTACGCCAGCATATCATCGTTCCCTCACTTAGGAAGCTCTTGGTCGGAATGAGGGCGGCGCATTTAGGAAAACGCAGATGGGTCCTGAAGGCGGCGGCGGCGGCGGCGGCGGCGGCGGCCAGGTGCGATGCGGCAGGGGGGGGGGGGGGGGTTAAGAGGGGGGGAGGGGTGAGGAGTGAGGGGGTGGGAGAGGGGAGGGAGGGGAGGAGGGGGGGGTTTCTGAAGTGCGAATGGGAACTGATATTAGAATATATATCTTTGTTTGTTGGTTGGTTTGGATGTGGATGAAAACTCAGGTCAAAACGTAATATTTTTAATTGATTGTTTGTTTTCAATGCGATTGGAAACCGAGATTAAAACATCACGTATTATTTTTTTTTTCTTCTTTTTTCTTCTTTTTTGTCTATTGTCTTTTTAAGGCCTCGGGAAGGTGGAATTGAAATATCACACCTTGTTTTTACTTGTGAAATGCTCCAGGAAATTGAAATTACTTCATATTTTGTATTCCTGTCACGTAAATCGGTTTTCTCTCTCTCACTCTCTCTCTCTCTCTCTCTCTCTCTCTCTTCTCTCTCTTTCTCTCTCTTCTCTCTCTCTCTCTCTCTCTCTCTCTCTCTCTCTCTCTCTCTCTTCTCTCTCTCTCTCTCTCTCTCTCTCTCTCTCTCTCTCTCTCTCTCTCTCTCTCTCTCTCTCTCTCTCCTCTCTCTCTCTCTCTCTCTTTCCTCCTCTCTCTCTCCCCCCCTCTCTCTCTCTCTCTCTCTCTCTCTCTCTCTCTCTCTCTCTCTCTCTCTCTCTCTCTCTCTCTCTCTCTCTCTCTCTCTCTCTCTCTCTCTCTCTCTCCCACTCTCCTCCTCTCTTTCTTTCTTTTTCTTTTCTTCAAGCCAAGGCGAGACTCCGTCACGCCTCCCATCCCCCTTCCACGCTCCTCAGACTATCGCAGATTTTCTCACCCGCTCCCGATATGAGGATACGAGTGTTTGCTTCGATGAGTCGAGGCCGACGTCGCCATAACGATCGGTCTCGCGTTCGATGTCTCGCTTCTGACGAGGTTCTGACAGGGTTCTAACGGGGTTCTGGCAAGGTTCTGACGGGGTTCTGACGAGCTCCTGACAGATTTCTAACAGATTTCTTTCTGACGGTTCTGACAGACGGGGTTCTGACGAGCTCCTGACAGATTTCTTAACGGAGTTTTCTGATTCCGGGGTTTCTGACGACTGACAGGGTGGTTCTGACGAGCTCCTGACAGATTTCTAATGGGGTTCTAACGGAGTTCTGGCAAGGTTCTGACGGGGTTCTGACGAGCTCCTGACAGATTTCTAAAGGGGTTCTGACGAGCTTTCTATTCTTAAGGGTTCTGACGAGCTCCTGACAGATCTAACGGAGTTCTGGCAAGGTTCTGACGGGGTTCTGACGAGCTCCTGACAGATTTCTAAAGGGGTTCTGACGAGCTCCTGACAGATTTCTAAAGGGGTTCTGACGAGCTCCTGACAGATTTCTAACGGGGTTCTAACGGGGTTCTGGCAAGGTTCTGACGAGTTCCTGACAGATTTCTAAAGGGGTTCTGACGAGCTCCTGACAGATTTCTAACGGGGTTCTGACGAGCTCCTGACAGATTTCTAACGGGGTTCTAAAGGGGTTCTGACAGGGTTCTAACGAGGGGCATACATACATGCAGACATACAGACAGACATACAATCATACATGCAGGCAGACAGACATGCATACAGACATACAGACAAACAGACATACATACAGAAAGACAAACAGACAGACAGACTTACATGCATGTATATAAAGACATACACACATACATACATACATAAATCCATCCATTCATACATTCATCTATCCATCCACCCATCCATCCATACATACATACAAGGATACACACATACATACATAAATCCATACATTCATTCATTCATCCATCCATCCATCCATTTAAACGTGCAGTCAACCACAAAAAAAAAAAAAAAAAAAACTCATTTAAACAAACACAAATAGCACACTCCTACGCACTTCTGCCTTTTTTATGTATGCATACGAACCCAACGGCCACCCACACGCGGCCAGGCAACACAACCCACGACGCCCACGAGGGACCTGAGGGGCGGTGGTCCCTGCTCGTTCTAAGTTGGGGTCAACGAGGATGCCTTGTAGTTTTTTTTTTTTTTTTTTTTTTTTTTGACGAATATTTCAGTCAAGGGGCGATTTAATGTTTTTTGGTGGAATGTGTTGTTCGTTGTTGGTTATATCAGGTAATTTGTGTTGCTTGTCAAGTTTTTTGTTGTTGTTGTTGTTGTTGACAGGTATTTCTAGTTAGGTTATCATTCGTTGACAGGTATTTCCAGTCAAGTTGCGTTTCTTGTCAAAAGAAAAAAAAATCGTTGATGGTTATTTCAGTGAAATTGAGTTCCCTGTCAAGAAAAAATCGTTGACAGTTATTTCAGTCAAGTTGCATTTCATGTCTTTTTTTTTCGTTAACTTTTTCGGTGAAATTGTGTTCCCTGTCAAGATTTTTTTTTTTCTTTTTTGACAGATATTTCAGTCGTGTTCCTTGTCAAGTTCTTTTTCGTCGATGGATTATATTTTCAGTCAAGTTCAGCGTGTCTTGTCCAGCTCATATTTGCCGTCATCCATCCATCCATCCATGCGTGCAGTCAACCACAAAAAAAAGAAAGAAAAAAAAATTCACACTAATATAAACAGACAAATAACATGCAAAAAGGAAGGAAAAAAACACTAATATAAACAGACAACTTGCTAAAAAAAAAAGAAAAAAAAAAAAAAAAAAAAAAAAAAAAAAACAAAACATAACAAAAATAACACAAATAACTTGTTCCTACGCGTTCGTGCCTTTTTATGTATGCAATTACGGGTGGCGTCTGCAAGAGAGCTCATTAGTCTGTCAGTCTCTCGTTCATTTCCATAAACGTCTTTCTCTTTCTTAGCTGCTGCCATCGAGATCTTGTGCTTTCTTCAGCTCTTCTCTCTTTATTTACTTACTCCTTCTTATCGAACTCTATTCACCTGTTCTTATTCGTTGAGAGCTATTCACTCTATTTTTTTTTTATTTTTTTTTTTTCGTCGAGAGTGTTCACAGTTTTTTTTTTTTTTTTTATTCCGGTAACTGAGAGTTTCTGTGCCCATGATATATATAGTAGTTTTTTTTTTTTTTTTTTTTTTTTTTTTTTTTTCTTAGCGTGAAGTTCTCTCGAATTCCTGTGAAGTTCTTGTTCGTCGCTTCTTTCTTTCTGTCTCTTCTTTATCATTATTTATTGTCGTTGTTGTTGTTGTTATCATTATTCTATTGGTGTTATTTTTATATCCTTATCATTAATATTGCTATTATTATTATTATTTAACTATTTCATTATCATTCATCATAACTATCATTCATCATCATTATTACATTACAATTATCATTATCATAACACTATCATTATATCCATTATTACTATATCATCATTACCATCATTATCTATTCATCATCATCATCATCATCATCATTAATATCATCATTACAAATTATTTCATAAACCATTTCGACAAAGAACGGTTCCTCCACTGCGTCGAACCGTCATTTATAGACATCCATTTTCGCCAGGATTCTGCCGTCTCCCTCGGGTAACTCAAGCCATAAGTCAAGTTCCTTTGTTGTCTTGCCAAGTTTCCTTCGTCGGCGGCCATTTACGTCAAGTTCCCACTCTGTCTTCCTTGGCTAATTCACGCCACGAGTCTCTTTCCCTTCTCTCTCTTCTCTCTTATCTTTGTCTTTCTATATATCTATCTTTATTTTTTCTCTCTGTCTATCTCTGTTTATCTGTCTGTCTATCTATCTGTCTGTCTGTCTATCATCTGTCTATCTATCTATCTCTCGATCTATCTATCTATTTATTTATCTTATCTCTATCTATCTATCTTCTTCTCTCTATCTCTCTCTCTCTCTCTCTCTCTCTCTCTCTCTCTCTCTCTCTCTCTCTCTCTCTCTCTCTCTCTCTCTCTCTCTCTCTCTCTCTCTCTCTCCCTCTCTCTCTTCTTCTTCTTCTTCTTTTCTTTCTTCTTCTTTCTTCTTTTTTTCATTTTCCTTCTTCTCCCTTTCTTCTTCTCATTCTCCTTCTTTTCCTTCCTTTTCTCCTCCTTCTTCTTCATCTTCCTTTATCCCTGTCCTTCTCCTTCATCTCCTTCTCCTTCATCTCTCTCCCTCTGACCGAAGGCGCCAGCGAGCGAGTACCTCCAGCGCGTCCAACCTTCGCCCTTATGTCCTCCTCCATTTTTCTCCGAGTTC